CAGGAAGAGGTTAGGCAGAAAAGCAAGACTGGGAGAATGCTGGAGAGAAAGGCAGAGGGAGCAGGATGTGTAGAAAATGAGATTACAAGTCATGAGCCACGTATAGTCACATAAATTAATAAATACGAGTCAATTTAAGTTGTAAGAGCTAGTTAGTAACAAGCCTAAGTTATTGGCAAAGCATTTTGGGAGCTGACTGGTGGGACAGAAACTTCTGCCTACAGCTTAGAGTTAAGAGCACTGGCTGCTCTTTCAGAGGATCAGGGTTCAGTTCCTAGCACTTACATAGTGATTCAAAATCAGCAGTAATTCCAGTTCCAACTAATCTGATGCCCTCTCCCGGCTTCTACTGGCACAGACATATACACAGTGCACAAACATATAGACAGGCAAAACACCCAAACATATAAAGAAATAAGTCTTTAAAAAAATTCAATTGCTCCATTTTGGAAAGGCTTTTTCCATATCCTCAACCCTTAGAATTTTCTGTCTTTTTGACTTTGGTCATTCTAAAGGGTATATGATGCATTGTATTGTGGCTTTAATTTCCACTTCTAAAATGATGGTTGAAATTATGCACATTTTACACATTTATTACATACCAGGATGTCTTCACTTCTGATACATCAAGTTCTCTTTCTATTGAATTGCATTTTCCTTAATGATTTTTAGGAGAGTATTTTAGTAATTAGAACAATATTTTAGTATTTATGAGAGTATTCTATATACATATATGTGACAAACTATTTGCATGACTAGAAGACTCACAAATTTTGGCATATTAGTGGAGTGAACACATGTTTGTTTACATATTTTTTCAGGTCTGTAGAGCATTCTAAAATGAAGAGTGGCCCACTACCTACCTAGTTTCATTGGAAGAACTTTTTATATTAGAATAGAAAAGAGGAGGAGAGTTAAACAGCCTTACATTAGGGAAAATCTTTACCAGTGATGAGGTTTACCCAACACAGCAGCATCCAACATTAGTCCTTCTAACCACTAGCTCTTTTCAAAGCCTTCATAATGACAAAAAGTGAACTTATGTAATATATGATTATCTATATCAGTGGTTTCTTTTAAATCTCACATGCCACAGAACCTAGTTTCTTAGACACATTGTATCCTAGGATCTCAGTACATGTTTAATTAAATTACATTTTAAATTGAGGTTTTGTTTGTTTGTTTTTTGGTTTTTACAAGACAGGGTTTCTGTGTATTGTTTTGGAGGCTGTCAGAGCAGCCCGGCCTCGAACTCACAGAGATCTGCTTGCCTCTGCCTCCTGAGTGCTGGGATTAAAGGCGTGCGCCACCACCGCCCGGCTTAAATTGAGTTTTATAACATCAAAAAGTCTATAAGGCCCAAAGTTAACATATTGCAATATGACCACATGTTAATTTGATGTTAGATTAGTTTAGTGTAGTTCTCATAATTAATCTCCTGCTGCCATTTAAAAATATATATAACAGAAGCCTATGCTCATGCTTAAGGTAAATCATTAAAAATCCTCTGTAAAAAAATTGGTTTCTCTGAAAAGATCAGGATGTTTCTGAATAGTATAAAATTTTTCTGAAAAGCCAAAGCAGAAGATGCAGGAAAAACTGGCAGCTATAATTGTCACTGTTTTGCAAGTTTTAAAAAAAATCATAGTTGAAAGTGCAGTAACAGTGGGGCTGGCTGGGCACCCTCATTACAATAGTTCTTAGTCTGCTCTTGCCTCTGTCTTCACTGTCCAGGCTTGCTCCATTCTTTCCCACTTTCTGAGTTTGGGTCTGCAAACTCCACATTTATTATTTTATCTACCTGATTAACTTCTAATAAATTCCCTCCCCACTCAAAACAAAACAAAACCCAAGACAGCAAACCATCCTTCACATTACATTTTACTTTTTATGTTGGAATTCTGTGACAGATTGTGTCAGAAAAAAAGTTCATTGTTTTTAAAACTTTATTTTGAAAATGCTGGTGTAGCATGAGTTCTAAAAGGTCTTCATAAAAACTGGAGTCAGATATTGGGGAGAGCTCAAAGATCAGAGAAGCAAAGCAGTCAGCCACTTCCTCTTAACTCTACCTCAGACTGCCTCCTCAGACTGCCTCCTCAGACTGCCTCCTCAGACTGTATCCTCAGACTGCCTCCTCAGACTGCCTCCTCAGACTGTATCCTCAGACTGTATCCTCAGACTGTATCCTCAGACTGCCTCCTCGACTGTATCCTCGGACTGCCTCCTCAGACTGCCTCCTCAGACTGTATCCTCAGACTGTATCCTCGGACTGCCTCCTCGACTGTATCCTCGGACTGCCTCCTCAGACTGTCTCCTCAGACTGTCTCCTCAGACTGCCTCCTCAGACTGTATCCTCAGACTGCCTCCTCAGACTTCATCCTCAGACTGTATCCTCGGACTGCCTCCTCAGACTGCCTCCTCAGACTGCCTCCTCAGACTGTATCCTCAGACTGCCTCCTCAGACTGCCTCCTCAGACTGTATCCTCAGACTGTATCCTCAGACTGCCTCCTCAGACTGTATCCTCAGACTGCCTCCTCGACTGTATCCTCGGACTGCCTCCTCAGACTGCATCCTCGGACTGCCTCCTCAGACTGTATCCTCGGACTGCCTCCTCGACTGTATCCTCGGACTGCCTCCTCAGACTGTCTCCTCGGACTGTATCCTCAGACTGCATACTCAGACTGTATCCTCAGACTGCATCCTCAGACTGCATCCTCAGACTGTATCCTCAGACTGTATCCTCAGATTGCCTCCTCAGACTGTATCCTCAGACTGTATCCTCAGATTGCCTCCTCAGACTGTATCCTCAGACTGTATCCTCAGACTGCCTCCTCAGACTGCATCCTCAGACTGTATCCTCAGACTGCCTCCTCAGACTGCATCCTCAGACTGTATCCTCAGACTGCCTCCTCAGACTGCATCCTCAGACTGCATCTTCAGACTGCCTCCTCAGACTGCCTCCTCAGACTGTATCCTCAGACTGCCTCCTCAGACTGCCTCCTCAGACTGCCTCCTCAGACTGTATCCTCAGACTGCATCCTCAGACTGCATCCTCAGACTGTATCCTCAGACTGTATCCTCAGACTGCCTCCTCAGACTGTATCCTCAGACTGTATCCTCAGACGGTATCCTCAGACTACCTCCTCAGACTGTATCCTCAGACTGTATCCTCAGACGGTATCCTCAGACTGCATCCTCAGACTGTATCCTCAGACTGTGTCCTCAGACTGCATCCTCAGACTGCCTCCTCAGACTGCCTCCTCAGACTGTATCCTCAGACGGTATCCTCAGACTACCTCCTCAGACTGTATCCTCAGACTGTATCCTCAGACTGCCTCCTCAGACTGTATCCTCAGACTGTATCCTCAGACTGCCTCCTCAGACTGCATCCTCAGACTTTATCCTCAGACTGCTTCAGACTGACTGCTTCAGACTGCGCTGAGCTCCTGTCTCCTCTCTCTGCTCAACTATATCCTTTTCTGTGTCTACCTCCTTAGTGTTGGCATTAAAGACATGTCACTTCAAGTGCTGGGGTCACCTTTGTGTGAGCTGTGGCCCAGGGTGGCTTTTAACTAACAAGAGATCCATGTGCCTCTGTCTCCCCAGTGTGCGCCACCACTGCCTGGCCTCTGTGGCTAACTAGTGTGGCTGCTGGGATTAAAGGTGTGCTAACTAGTGTGGCTAGCTTTGTACTCTGATCTTCTGGCAAGCTTTATTTGTTAGATCATAAACAAAATATCACCACCTTCTGGTACTGCAGCACCCCCCCACCTCCCTTCAACAATCTTCTTAACTATTCTTCTCCATAGCTAAAGGAATCATGCCTCCACCTAAATTTTTTTCTGAAAAAAATTTGTTATCTAATAGAGAATCTTATAAAGTTCAAACTATTTGCATAACTATGATACCTCCTAAATATTTGATATGTTTGTAGAATGAACTCAATGCTGATTAACTCTACATTGATAAAAACAAAAAACTCAACGATAAAAAACAAATTCTAGATCCTTCTTGGTTTTTCAGCAAATAATAATTGTTATATGGTACCTACATATATAATTACCTCATTTGTGTAAGGTGCTTTCCAGAAACCTCATCCTATCTAAGTGTTCTCTTCACAAACGTTGAGGACAAATGTGAGTAACAATACTTCCGAAAACAGGTGGTGAATAACAAGGCACGACCTCAATGTGCCACAAAGTTTGAGAAATGTTTTCCTTACAGTAATAGAGTAAAAGTGAGTGGCTGAGGATTATATAGATTGGTGACTGCCACATCCAGACCTGACCTGGTGTTTATTGTCTTCTCAGGAGGGGGGTGTCTCTGAGCTTCAGGGAACTGAATGAGGAAGACTCCTTTGTTCTTTTCAGGTTTTGTTTTCTTTTGTTTTGTTGAGGGGGTGGGGGCGTGTTTCTTTGTTCCGAGAAAGGCTCTCGGTGTAACCCTGGCTGGCCTCCAACTCCTCATCCTCACACCCCAGCCCTGATTACAAGCAAATGCTACCACACCTGACTTGGGGACTATTTTAATCTTGCTCCACCTAGGAATCAGTCTGGACAGTGAAAGCGCCTGTGAGGACATCAGCAAAAAAAAAAAAAAAAAAAAAAAAAAGTGCTGTCCGAGGTCACCAGGTGTCAAAGCCTAGCAAATACCAAATACCAGACCTTGCTATCAGTTCCCTTTCCAGAGCACACTTCCCGCTCCTCAGCATCCCTGAGAATTTCCCTGGAGCCAGCCCAGCGCTTGAATCCTGCCAGTCGCTCAGGTAGGTTGTTTAACATTCACGTTTCTCTCTCCACTCCACGGTTACAAATGATACCTGAGGTCACAGGTGACAATTTTTCGGATTTGCGCAGACGTTCCGCCCTCGTGTCCGCCAGGGGCTACGGGCCGCTTTGCGCACGCGCCGCAACCCAGACCCCGGGGCGCTCTCACCCACGCACCGCCCGCTGGGCGTTCCCAGGCCTAGCCTAGGGTGGTGAGAGGGAGCGCGCATGCGTACGCACTCCAGGCGGCCCCGCCCCCAGAGGCGCGTCCCCAGGGGCCCGGGGCCTACTCCTTGGCGCGCCGGGCCATGGAGGCCCTGCGGAGGGCCCACGAGGCCGTGCTGTGGCTGTTGCTGTGCAGGCCCTGGGCCTTGGGCGCCGCCTCCCGCCCGAAACCCCGCGCCTCGGAGGTGCTGACGCTGCACCTGCTGCAGCGGCGCCTGCCGCACTGGACTTCCTTCTGCGTGCCTTACAGCGCGGTCCACAACGACCAGTTCGGCCTGTCCCACTTCAACTGGCCCGTACCTGGCGCCAACTACCACGTCCTGCGCACCGGATGCTTCCCCTTCATCAAGTACCACTGCTCCAAGGCGCCTTGGCAGGACCTGGCCCCGCAGAACAGCTTCTTCACGGCGCTCAAGGTCATCAACCTGGGTGAGTGGCGGAGCCCTCGTCTGACCCAGGGACTCCTCCGGCCCGGGGGGCGGCTGCAGGTTCCCAAGCACGCTGCTCCGCTCCAGCGGGCTGCCTGCATCACTCCTGAGGTCGTGCCCTGCCACTGTCCATGCAGGAGCGCCTTGGGCAGCGAGGAGCGAATCAGGAAACGCCCCCACTTGGACAGTGGCTCTGAAGTTGCTTAGCAGGAGTCATTCCCGCGCTCATCACTGGAGGACAAAAACTAGGCGACTTTTAAAGTTTCTTTGTCTTCTTTATGTGAAATCTCAGTAAGTGTATTTTGCCAAGAGCAGTAGGTTCTCTCCAGACATCATAATTTTTTTCAGGTGCTAGACTTAAAATGTATTTGAAAGAGGATGCCTCTTTAGTACTTATGTTACTGAAGATCTAGTTCTGACTGTATCTCCTCCCTCTAGATGTTTATGTTACTTTGGTTTAACAGCAGGTCAGTATCATGGATCGTAGATGTGACAGCACTGTATAGATCTGGGAAAAATACAAGCCCTCGAGATGTTTCGGATCTGTTAGTAGCTACTAAAAAAAATAACTTAAATTTAGATTTCAGTCACTCAAATTATACACAAGGAAGCCTAACCAGCATAACCCAAATATTTTTAAATACAAAATTACACTAAACTCTATGGAGCTGTACTAATACTATATATAACCCAATAGTTCGTTACATTGAATAGGGCATGGTCATTTCTGCTTGTAATAGCTCACGTGTCACATGGAATTTTTGAACTGTTGTCCCACCGGCACTGCCCTAGGCTTAATCTAGGAAGGAGATTATATAACAATGTGTATATCATCCTTTTAAAATGTCTCATTACTTGACTGATGGACTGTACAGAGCATGCCTACTAATTTTGAGGTTGGTATGAAAGTTAAGTTGGCATGAGATGATTTAGAAACTTGAGAATGAAAGTATGTGGAAAAGCTGGAGTGCTAACTAGTTGTGAAAATGAGTTTAGCATTTTCAGAATCAGTAGGAATCATTCTTTTCCAAATGTAGAGTGATAGACAAGGAAGACTGTAAGGCTAAGGGCTGGGTAAACTGAATAGACCGAATCCTTTATTTAAAATGTCACAACTTAAAATTAACAAGTGTCTTTTAAGATACCTGTCATGATTAAGGGATCTCTTTTAGGTGTAAGTCATTAAGACACCAAAAGAAGAAAAAGATATTCACTTTCTCAAACAGAAAAGTAAATAAAACCTTTTCAAAAAAACAAAAACAAAAAACCCAACAGATGTAGGGGTGATTTTTGTTTGTTTAGTTTTTGTTTTTATTGTGGAAGAGTGATTTAATAGTCTGTGGGCTTCTAGAAATTCTAAAATATGCTACTTATAATGGGAAGAGGAATTCCAAGTATAGCAAAGAGAGAAAGTGTTCCTGCATGTTTCAATACAAAGTGCCTTACTAGGAAATGTTTTCCTGGACTTTTAACCAGCTTAGTGATGTTTATTTTATAATTTTGTCTGAACTAAGAGAAATGTGAATTAAGTAACAGGATCCTAGTCTGTGACATACAGTTTGCCCCTCTGGATTCATTATGTCTTTAGTTGGTAGTAAGAATACAAAGGATTTTTTTCCTTGTCCTCCCTTCTAAACGAGTAGTAATCAGAATAATTCATTTTCTGTTTTGTAAATAATAAGGATTTCTGTTTACTCCTTTTCTCCTCCACCTTCCCATCCATGGAGCTGACACTTTACTGATGATTTATCAGTTTAAGTATCCTGCTGGGAAATAAATTAAGATTTAAGAAAAGCAACTTTTACCATTGAAATAAATGGGTAATAGGAGTCTTACTATAAAGTTCCAATTTTTTAAAGTACTTAATTCAATAGTAATTTACATGCTGTTCAGTTAACTCAAAACGAATGATTATACAAAGAACTGTTTCTCAAGTTCATTTTGATGGTCTCTGTCTCTGGTAGTCTGAATTTTTTTTCATGGGATCTTAAAGATTTTGATTTTTGAAGCATCAGACTGATTTGTTTTTTAATCTGTAAAATACAGAGGCAACAAACCTTCATTAGTGCATTATTGTCTGCATTCTAGGGTGGGAAAAACAAAGCAAAATAAAATACTCATTCATTCCAACAGAGAATTTCTAGCTCCCTTACAACTTCTGACCCCTGTCAGTAAGCATGAATGATAATGATTCTTTCTTGTGCTTACTATTAAACTAGTAATCATTAACCAGTTCTTTATTTTATTGGGGGGCATGTATTTGTATGGTTTGTTTTCAAAAGTATAAATTTTAAAAGAATATTTAACTGAAAGCTGTGATAAATACCATAAAAAATAATTCTCAGGGTCACTACCATTCCCTACACTCAAACCTTAGTGTTGATTTAAAAGGCATGTTGTGTCTATCTTACATTCAGTGTATACAGAAAACTAATAATTGCTTCTAGGACCTTTTAAAATTCCTCATCCCATTGATTTTCAGGTTTTGGAGTGGTAGTATCATATTGGAATTAATTTTTTATTATTATTTAAGCCTGTACCCCATACTCCTTTCTCGTCACATTCTTTTCTTGTCCGTCTGCGTTCTTCTTGGATGAATGATTTGCAAATAGCTTTATATTGTAGTTTTTGAGGACTTATTTTTGTGACAGTCCCTCGAGACATTTGAGATTCTTTAGGGGGCATGATGAGGGCAAAGACAGCAGTGAACTGTAGAAAGTTCCGTGGGAGTTCCAGGGGATTCTGTGGTAATAAATTATAAACTGTAACCTGGTATGTTTCTAAAAGTAGAAAAAGACCTGAGCAGGAGGTATCTGGCTCACCACCCCACCACCCCATTACCAGCTGGTGAAGCCACCTCTTCTGGCTTTGGCATCACAGAGTACTCCTACGCATATATTCAAAGATATTCCTGCAGGAAAGGAAGAAAAACTCAGTAGTCAGATCAGTGTTGAATATGTGTTGGTTTCTCTATTAACTAGAAAGAGATTTTTCCAAATGAGTAGTTATATTTTTGAATTGCCTCTTTCTGCCCATTTCCCACATGGCAGCAATAAAATTAATACTTGTGCAGGGCCTACAGTATTTGTTTTTGATCTGTGTGCCTGTGGTTTTATATACACACACACATATTATACACAGTATGTTTTATAATATGTTAATAGTCATTGATTTTAAATAAGTGCCTTAAAAGTTAAGAATTATGGAAGTCTATTTTGCATGCAACATAGCATCATATGCATATGAATCCATATTTCTGGGTAGTATGTTTGTGCTTAGTTTGATATATAACATGTAGCAGTTAATCTCAAATAAAACAGGGAAACCTTATTAATGGCAGTCTTCAAAGACAGAGAGAAAGAGAGATTTATTGGAGTCCATGCAGATAAGCTGAAACAAGATTGTTTTCAAATCAATTACAGAATTACTAATTAGAGTGTTCTTTGTCATGCTGGGTACACTAAAATCTTCCTAAAAGTTAGATTTTGTCTAAGAAGTTGTTTGGGCAAGTTTCTAAGTTGAACAAATTTTTTTTTAATCCATCAGTGTTCCAATCTAATTTAAAGAAAAGCAAAGTGAGCCTAGTAATTGTAGCTTAAAGCAAATAATCGGGAACATTTACAACCAAATAATGGATAGTCTCTGCTTATTTGTGAGAATATTAAATTACTTCATAATTAATTGAGGTTTAATTGATTAATGAATTAAGCAAGTGCTTTGTATTAAAGTTTATATTAGTCTCATCTATAGTTTTAAAAATCTAGGCTCATATCATGGCTGCCATGTTCCACAAAGAGATCAAGTCCAGCTCTTCAGTAATCATAGTGAGCATCTGGGTCATACATTTCTGTTTCTCTAGCTTTGTTAACATTGCTGAAGACTGTTTACATGATCAGTAACATGAAATATGTTAGTACATGATTAATAAGTACTGATCTTCTCATATAACATTCATTTGTTTTCTAGGTATTCCAACTTTGTTATATGGACTTGGCTCCTGGTTATTTGCCAGAGTCACAGAGACTGTTCATACCAGTTACGGACCAATAACAATCTATTTTCTAAATAAAGAAGATGAAGGTGCCATGTATTGATAGTGTGCACTGGAAAATACAAATGTCAATGAATTTGTTCCTCTGTGTGTGTGTGTGTGTGTGTGTGTGTGCGCGCGCGCGCAATATTTATTTTTGATCCTTTAAAATAAAACACTGGCAAACACCTTTGTCTTTCTATGGTGTGTGGTTTTTTTTAAGATGAATCACTATGCCCTAGAGGGAAGCTTTTTCTACATTATTATATATTGTGTACTGTTTAGCTAATGGGAACTACAAACACACATGACTTCACTCCGGTTTCCCCAGAACTAGGTTAAACTACAGATTAAAAAAAAAATGAGTCCATGAAGACAGATTCTATAACTGGATATTAACAATTTAAATTAGCTCTGAAGAAAAAACAGATTCTCCACAAAAATGGGAAATCATAGTGGAAAGGGGGAATATAATGTGGGGAAAAGGAGATGGTGTTGGATACTTAGTGGAATTGATATGATATCTTTGACAAGTTCAAAACAGATGAGAATCTTGCAACTGAAAACTTAAGCATTCAGCAGTTAAGATTTTGCATGGAAGTGGTTTCTTTGCTTTGTTTTGTTTTTTTAAGCTCTTGTACTGTTTATCTGGATTAAATAGTAGGAATAAAATGCAGTTGTACACCTACGATCCCAGCATGAGGGAAGTAGAGGCAGGAAGATCAAGAATTCAAATGCACTCTTAACATCAGCCTGGGCAACTTGAGACCCTAACAACAACAACAAAAAGAACGCAATGCCTTAGTACTTCTTAATGTAGTTATAGTTCTTGTCAATGTAAATGCAACAAGGTGAGTGAAATTAATACTCATTGTTAATGTTAAAACATACTACAAAGCTGTAAGAAAATTAAGTTCTAGAAAGACCGAGAATGAATTTGCCAGCTGTTTATAAAAGCAGTGAACTGAAATGGCACATATACACAGATTTACTGACCATGGGGAATGGGCTGAAAATTTAAAAACTTGATACTACTTTTGTATTAGAATTTTATTAAGCTAATTGCGTTGTTGAAAGCAAAGTCATTAAAAAAATTTATCCTTGGAGATAGTCACAAAATACCGAGACAAATGGCAAATTTCCGAAATTTGGAGTAATTTAGGGAGAACTAAGTAGGACTATTTAATTTCTAAACCAATGGGTGTTTAAGATTTATGATCACTTCATAATTACAAACATACATTATATAGCGTTTTATGTTAATGTGTTGCTGGTACTGCAGTGTTACACATTTTTGTAGGAAAACATTTTACACAATTTCATCTAAACAACATTTGGATGTTATTTCTGGCAAGTTAATAGAGAGTAAACTTCCAGAAATGACTAAGTGAGACCATCAGAATAACGAAGTCATACAAACGGGCCCCTCAAGTGTAGTCATTTTAAATGTGCTACAGATAGGGAACTGTACTAATATATGTATTGTTCACTTGTCTAAACACAATTCTAAGTAACACTTTAATCAAAGAAGTACTTGTGCCAATATGTTTAATCCAGAAAAATATGCTTAACTCTAGTTAAATGAATGGCTTGTCCAAAGAAGATGGTGTTACATTAAGCTTCATTAATAATAAAACAACTATTAGCATTTTGCAAAGAAGGCTAGAACTGATATCCTCTGTAAGGGCAAAGTTAAATAACTATAGTTCATAAGTTTTAAGTCAAATACTGCTCATTTGCTGCTGCTGATCATGTCAATACATGCCGTAAAGGTTTGTCTCAACACAAGGTTGATAAAATAGTTTTTAATTACCAGACCATAAATACAGCTTTTCAGTTCAGTTCTACCTCTTTTCACACTGGCCTGTTTGATTTCTGATAATCTGTACTGCTGACTCTGCTTACCTGTTTTTCAATAGCTGTAGTTAGTGTGACTTCTTGTCCGTATGGTGATAGGTAAGTCTCCTAGGAGAACATCTTTGACAAACTACTCTATTGATCTCTGTAATTCTCTGCTGCTGCAGCATTAAATAGAAACTTGATTTCTTGTCTGGTGTGTTTGCTGTGTAACAATTAAGCAAATGTAATATTTTCTTGTATTACATGAAAATCAATAGACCTCTTGCTCATGTGAAGTTGATCATGGTGAAGGATGAACCAATGATGGCTAGGGGCAGAGCTCAAAAATTAAAATATAATTCATTGGATTAATTAAACCTTGTAGTGAATCTTTTGTTATGAAACTTGCTTCCCAAGAAACAGCAAAGATTTTAACTTCCTTTTTCTTTCTGTCTCTCTTTACTTCTTTCATTCCTTTTATTAAATGTTGCCTATTGCAGATAAACATAGGCCAGAAGGGATAGAGTGTAAATCTAAGAAGCCAGGAGATTGAGTCTATTTCTGGCTTCAGTGTTGTCTTCCTGCCTTAAGGCTAATGTCTACAACTTTGTGTCTCATTTTTTTCCACCTGTAAGTTGAGGAGAACAAGGGATCTTTCCACCCTAAGATGTATCATGACTCTTATCAGGTAAAGCTCTTGCCATGCAAGTCTGGCAACCTGAGTTTGATCCCAGGATAGTATATAAGGATGGAAGAACAGATCAACTCCATGGAGCTGCTCTCTGACATTCACAATTGCACCCACATGAGCAACACACAGAGTGACATGCACATGTAATTGTTTTTGTAAAAAAAGTTTTTTAAGCCTTGTATCATAACTGTGCTGTTTGGCACACATTTTTTCTGTCCCTTTTATTTATAAAGGGTTTTATTGATAGAAAGATTTCAAAAGGATAAGACAAGAAGGAAAGAGGGCGAGAGACTGAAGGCAGTGAGTGCATATTTGCCCACACCCACTAACCCAAGACAGCAAGGAGAAATCCAGGTGGACCCTGCCCTTCTTGGTTTATGAAACTGTTGACCAAGATTTTCTACTAGCAGTTCCTTAATTCAGTTTATATTTAACAGTATCTGGGCTTGTGACAAAGAATAGAATTGTGTCATTTTCAGGAATATGGGATGCAACTGGATATCATTAACCAAAGTCATTCTCAGACAAATATATTCTGTCATTTATAGTTTCTATACTTTATATAGTAACATGAATCATATATGTATAAATGAAGTGAAATTATCTAGAGCATTAAAGGAGATTACTAGAAGAGATATAAAAGGGGGAGAGGAAGGAGAAAGGGATGGGGTGAGTATACTAACATTCTCTGTCTCTACATATATACATATATATAAAGTTTGTATATATACACAAAACTTTATTATATACAAATAAAACTCTGAGACAGAGAAAGAGGGAGGGGAGAGAGAGAGAGAGAGAGGGAGAGAGGTGTGCAATGTGCAGATTCATACAGAGCTAGAAAAAGTGTCAAATCCCATGGAGCTGGCGTTATAGGTCATTGTGACGTACCTAAATGGGTTCCGGGAACAAAATTCAGGTCCTGTCAAAGAGCAATAAGCATACTTAACTGTGGAGGCATCTCTCCAGACCCTACACACCAGATAGACAAATGGGAGGAGGGAAGGAGGAGGGAGGGAGGGAGGGAGGGAGGGATAGTTAACAAAGCAACAATAAAGACAAACTAATCCCAACATCACTTTTAGTGATGATGTTAATGTTAACTTTTGATGCACCTTACTATCGTCTCATTTCCACACATATCAATTATGAAGTGCTAGAAGAAATTTCTAGCCAAAATTAGTTTCTATGTAAGCTGTGAGCTTTAAGGGACATATCTGGGAGTATGAAAGAGGTTGCTAATACTTAAAAAACCAAAACACAATAAACAACTCTGGGGCTGGAGCAATGGCTTGGGAGGTTGGGAACACTTAATGCTCTTCCAGAGGGCACAGGTTTGATTAGCACTACCCACATGAAAGGTACAATCACCAGTAATCCAGTTCCAGGAGATCAGACTCTTTATTCTGGCCTCCATGGGCAATGCATAAGGCACATACCAGTAAAATAAAAATAATCTTAGGAAACGTAAAAGCTCCTGCTTTCTCAGTGGTGATGTCCTCAAACACCATGTTGTTTTGCTCATTGTTGACACCAGTAAAAATTGAAATAGATTTTAATTATTAAAAATCCATATGGAGGGCTAGTGAGATGATTCAATAGGTAAAGACACTTGCCATGCAAGCCTGGTAATCTGAGTTCAATTCCCAGAAGCCACATAAAGGTGGAAGGAGAAAACCAATTTCATAAAGCTGTCCTCTGACCTCCACACATGCCCCCCCACCAGTAATAAAATTTTTAAAAATGTAAAGCCATATGTATTGTAAGGACATTTTGTCATTTATATTTATGTTCACCCAGAACCTCAGGCACAGAACATCTACAAGTCTTCATAAATTGCCTTTTAGGTCTATTAAAGAGTAATGATGTCTAAGTGTGTGAGATGACATCAAAGACAAGGATCTTCATTTCACTTCACTTGAAAGTTAATGCAGATAACAGAAACCTTATCCTAATGCTAGCAGATCAGGTATCTCCTATATTCAGCATACCGCATTGAGACAATAATGAGGTAATGACGTTTGGGAGCATCTTAACCTAAACAAGTACTTAGCATTACATCTCACCTGGGTCAACCGTCTAGGGTATCAGCGTTAAACTATGTTACTGTAAATTAATGGAAAATGTAACTGCACTTTGCTGAAAGATCAATGTCCAATAAAGGTTGCACAATCAAATCTTGTTGCAATGATTGAGGCCTTTAATTGCCTTTCAAAGATAAGGTAGTAATCAACACAGCTTTAACTGATCTTTTTCACTAGTTCAATTACATGCTAATGACTAGTGCCAAGTCAGAATCTTTAACTACTTATACTTATTAAATCTTATGTTAGTAATGAAAAATTACTTAAGCTACACAATCAATACAACACAAATCTTAATTACTATATTTCACTTTCATACAATTTTATGTGCTTGACAAATTCACACCAGCTTTCCTTAACAGTAAGAAGTGTCACTGGCAGTGTCCAGAGTCTACAAGTTATTGTTCTAATGTAAATTAGAGCTCAGATGTTCATTTTTTCTTCTAATAGAATTGTGGCTAAGATAGTT